AGGGTCTCGAATCTCCTTTGTATGGATACCTTCACTCATAAATATAACCCATCATAATGAGACAGACATTGCAGCCAAATTAGCGTGCAACAAAGATGACAACAAAGAACTAACATGCTTAAAAGTAATTAGAACTAGAGACTGCTGTGGGGAGTATATCTTTGCCAGTTTCAGAGTCAAGGGTGCCAAGTCTGTCCTGTCTGTGGGTGCAGTCTATAGAATTCCTAACACTTATGTGTCTGAATTCAACTCAAACCTTAGAAATCTAAAACTAGATAACAGACTGAACAAAAACGATCTAATTATCGCAGGGGACTTTAATATTGACCTCTGCAAGCCTGAACACCCTACTGCTGTTAGCTTCCTCAACTGTATGAATTCCTGCTTCCTCATACCCTTAATCACTAGACCTACTAGAATCACTGATAGTACTGCCACGACTCTTGATCACATCTGGACCAACATAACCTCTCCGCTTACTTCAGGTATAATCACCGATAGCACTACAGACCATTACCCCACATTTCTCTTAACTAACATTAACAAACCACCTCTAGAGACAAGGGAGTTAAGCTTTAGGCTGCACAATGAAACTGCTATAGCCAATTTTATAACTGCTGCTGATAATGTCAACTAGGAGTCCGAGTTAGGTAACATAGGGGACATCAACCTAACAGTGCAATCTTTTCTTCAAAAAACTCTCAGCCTCTATAACACCCACTGTCCTATGCTTACAAAACAAATCACAACCAAAAAGCTTAACAATCCTTGGCTTACAAAGGGAATACTTAAATCCATTAATAAAAAACATGACCTTGAGAAGAAGTGTAGGTTAGGAACCGTTTCCAAAGAATTCTCGAAGAATTACTCGTAATTGCTATCTAAAATAATTAGACGAGCCAAAACTAAATACTACGAAGATAAATTTACCCAAATAAAGAGCAACATTAAAAAAACTTGGAGCACAATTTCACAAATATTGGGATCAAAGAAGATTTTAAATAACAAACCAACACTCCTGTCCAATAACGATGGTCACCTTTCAGCCTCTGATCCTGCTATTGAGTTCAATAGGTTCTTCTCTTCTATTGGGTCATCCCTTGCAAATGATATTCCATCCTCCAGTACTGATGTTAAGGACTATCTTACAGGTCTCTGTAATCCACAGTCTCTGTACCTAAAGCCTACTAATTCCACTGACGTTAATGATATAATCCTTTCCCTTAAAACCAAGTCTAGTGCCCTTGAGGAGATACCAACTATAATTTACAAAAAAAACTCCAGATCTTTAGCCCCTGCTATAGCATTGCTCTTCAACAAGTCACTTGAACTCCAAACCTTTCCAGATATTCTAAAAAAGCGAGAGTAACCCCTGCCCATAAATGTGGTGATCTCACAGATGTTAACAACTACAGACCTATATCAATCCTGCCTAACTTGTCAAAAATATTTGAAAAACTAATCTACAAGCAGCTTTGCTCTTATCTAGCCAAACACAATATACTTAGCTCTTGTCAATATGGCTTCAGACCTAAAAAAAAAAAGCACTAACGATGCACTTGTTAGTATGATTAACTTGATTCATGCAGCTCTTGATAAAAATGAGTTCCCTGTTGGGTTATTTGTGGACCTGCGTAAGGCTTTTGACACTGTCAACCACCAAAACCTTCTTCATAAATTACATCATTATGGAGTCAGAGGACACTCCCAGCAATACCTCAAATCTTACCTTACTGACAGGCTCGATTATGTTTCTGTGAATAATTCAATTTCTCCCACCCTACCCATCAACATTGGTGTTCCTCAGGGCAGCATACTTGGCCCTCTCCTCTTTCTCATCTACATTAATGACCTTCCAAATGCCTCCCAACACCTCAAACCAATTCTATTTGCTGACGACACAACCTTTATTTACTCCAGTCCTGACCCCCTTGCTCTGAATGCCACAGTAAATACTGAGCTAAATAAAGTCCATCTTTGGCAAACTGTTAACAAACTCACCCTTAACAGTGACAAAACTTTCTATATTCTGTTTGGCAATAAATCCTCTAATCAAATAAATCTCAAAATAAACAATACCCAAATTTGTAACAAATTAGATGGCAAATTCCTTGGCATTCTCATTGACCATAAGCTGAATTTCCAGGGACACATTCTAAATATATCAAAAAAATATTCAAAAACTGTTGGCATTCTTTCTAAGATCAGATATTATGTACCCCGCCCTGCCCTGGTGACTATTACTCTCTCATCTATCCATATCTCAACTATGGTATTTGTGCTTGGGGTTCTACTACCCAAAATCATTTACGTCCTCTAATTACTCAACACAAAGCTGCTATTAGGACAATATCAAGCTCTGGCCCCAGACATCACTCGGTACCCCTACTCAAATCTCTGAATATGTTAGATATTAAGTCACTGCACATTCTCTCATGTGTATTATACATATATAAAACGCTGAACTGTAATGCCAATCCTGACCTCAAAAGCTTCATTGAAGGTTGTAACAGAGCCCATGAGCACCACAACAGAAATAAATTCAGTTTTGATATTCCAAGAGTACGACTTAATGAAACTAGAAATGCTCTACAAATCAAGGGACCCAGAATGTGGAATGACCTTTGCAACCATGTTAAAGACTGTACTTCTCTCAACCAGTTTAAGATAAAAACGAAGCACTACCTAATACAAATACAAATACAAATATTTATTCAGGTAAAGTACATACATACAAGGTAAGATACAAAAGTTGATGAATTTATAGATAGAGCTAGTACATACAATGCCTAAAGCCACTATTACGCAAAGCGTTTCGGGCAGGAAAAACACTAAGACTAAAACTTAATACTAACTTAGATTAAAGTATAATTTCTGATAATGGAGGAATAAGACACCAACAGTATGGGGACCTATTTTATTTAATTAATAGTAGAAACAAATAATTTTTGCAGACTATGTTAATGAAGCAGGTAACTTGTATAATTTACAACAGCATAAATACATGTATAACTTGACTACACTACAACAACTTAATAACATTAATACATATGACTAAATAAAACATGGCCTGCAGAACGCCGAATCCTTATTAACTATGTGTTCAAGTAAGGCAAACGTTTAACATAATTTTCAAGTAGAATCAGCAGGGCTTATAGTGTAGCATATATAGTGGCCTAACACATGACAGAAATAATGCGCCAATCCCAGACATAATGTGAAATCGTAAATTACCAGTAGCTGCAGAATACACCTAGAGGACAAATTACCAGTAGCTGCAGAATACACCTAGAGGACAAATTTAACTTTACTCTTACAAGTGAGAGTAAGTAGCTGCGGACAGCGTAATACTTAGGGGCCGGCGCTGCACCCCCCCTCGCAGAGCCAGCTGGCCGGACCCCCCCCCCCCCCCCGAAGGGCGAGTGCCCGCTGGCCGCGGAATTGGTTTGGTTTGATGTCCAAAGAGCTTGGAAAGGATGTGGGAGGAAGAAGGATGGGGCGATGAAATTCTTGGAAGAGGATTTGGATGTGGAGAGAGGAGGCTTTAAAGTTCGGTGGCCCGTCCGCCATGGATTGGAGATGTTTTTTCAGTCAAAGCCTGTAGCTTAAGTTTATTTATTTATTTATTTATGCATATACAAGAATGTACAAAGGAATGTGAGGATACAAATATGGTAATTACAGTCTTGTAAAGCCACTAGCACGCGCAGCGTTTCGGGCAGGTCCTTAATCTAAGAAAATTTTAAGGAGGTAAATACTTGCAAAATTTATAGACAAAAAAATGATAACAGATTACATGGAATGAAAAAAAAGAAGATGAGAGAAAATTATAGGTACAGTATATTAAAGCACATAGGTAGCTATGATTGATTGCAATGACAGCTTAAAATGGTAGTTGACAACAAATTGGTAGGCACAATACAGCAGAAACAATATAAGATTGATTGCAATGACAGCTTGAATGGTAGTTGACAAAAATTGGTAGTCACAATACAGCATATGGCTAGCACATAAAAGAAGACAGCAATGAACACAATGATAAGGTTGTTTGATATTACATAAAAATTAGGAGATTGGGTAACACTAGGTACAGAGCAAATTTAAAGCTCAGTGTAGGAAACTAAATAGATGAAGTTAGGTACTTTTTGGTTTTGCTTTTAAATAAGGCAAAAGTTTTACAGTTTTTCAATTCACTAGGGAGTGAGTTCCATAGACTAGGTCCCTTAATTTGCATAGAGTGTTTACACAGATTAAGTTTGACCCTGGGGATATCAAAGAGATATTTATTTCTGGTGTGGTGATAATGGGTCCTATTACATCTGTCCAGGGAGAGTTTCAGAGCATGGTTTGCATTTAAGAACAGGGTTTTGTAAATGTAGTTGACACAAGAGAATGTGTGGAGGGAGTTAATATTTAGCAAGTTTAGGGATTTAAACAAGGGAGCTGAGTGTTGTCTGAAAGCAGAGTTAGTTATTATTAATTAATTTAATTAATTCCCTGTAACCTACCTTACCCCTCTATTGTCAACCCATGTCTGTTTTCTTAAACAACGCTGTTTGTCGACCTATTTGTATTTGTGCTGCTTTTTCAGCCATGTTTCCCCCTTTTTATATTTATTTTTATTTGTTCTCAACACATTTTATTCTTTATACTCATTTAGTATTAAGTATTAGTCATTAAAGTTTTTTCCTGCCCGAAACGCTTTGCGTAATAGTGACTTTAGGCATTGTATGTACTAGCTCTATCTATAAATCTATCAATTTATGTAAAATCTCTTGTATGTAGGTACCTTACCTGAAAAAATTTGGAAAATGCAGTCTATTACGGTTAGAGGATTCTAAATATAAAAGTCTGCATCTTACCATAATTATCAAGAATTAATCATTGTCAGAACAATCAATATAAAATTATTCATAAATTACCTAGTATTGTAATCATATCTGATCGTAAAGGTTTAAAGGATACAGTAAGTAAACAGTTTGCACTCGCCCTCCCTCTACGCTGAAACCGTTTGTTTACTACAACAGGGCGCTTTGGCGGTCCCTTCCGCCACTATGTCACTGACAGAAGATTTAAGCGACTTGCTGGACGACGACGACGACCAGGTAACCCATATCAAACCTCCCACCCGTGACAAGTAGTGGTGAGACATTTTGAATATTCAAGTATTCTTTCGGCTGACATTCGTCACTGGCTGCGGCCTTTCACGGCAGGTTCAAACCCTTTTCAAAATCGACTTCATGTAATACACTTTGTGGGGGACAGGAAACCTTTATTTAGGCCAACTGTTGATAGGCCAACTACTGGTCCTCCCTCAGGATGCAACCCACAACAGTTGCCTAACTCCCAGGTACATATTTAACTAGCATAGGTGGTGGGACAAGCGCTCTTAATTTAGTGTCCATTTTGCTAGGTGTCAGGATCGTGATGCTGGTGCAAAGTGACAGACATGTCATGTGAAGTGGTTAAGGTGTGCTAGAGCAACAATCTAACGCCAGTAGTGCTCTATGAGTGGCCGCAGGAGGCCTACTGTTTTAAAAAAAATTCAACGTTGGTGAAGCGATGCCATCGATACTGGTAGTGTCAATCAATAATTAAGGAAATAACAAAATATATGATTCAAGGCTACTCATAAGTATTGTAAGGCCAATTCAGCGAGTTAAGTACATTATTATCCAGGACCAGTTAATGACGACAGGAAACTATTAACACTATCGCACACCCGACATGCACGCGGTCAACTTAGAGGTCATGGACTCAATTTGCGGGCGAGTGTGCGGGCAAGCGCACGGCGACGCCTAAATGTGTATACTCGTTTCAGCTTTCTCGCCTTAATTCTCGTGTTGCGTTGTTTGTTTTAGTATCATTGTGTTTGCAATTAAATTCCCTACAGGTGTGTATGAATATAATGTCCAAAAGCCTGGCGTGACTCCCAACAGCAAAGCCTAAAGTCAGCAAAAGTTACCCGTGAGCGCACAAAATCAATAAAATGTGCATACTCGTTCCATTTTTCTCACCTTAATTCTCGTGCTACGTTGCTCGTTTTGGTATCATTGTGTTCGCAATTAAATTCCCTACAGATGTGTATGAATATAATGTACAAAAGCCTGGTGTGACTCCCCGCAGAAAAGCCTAAAGTTGCCCGTGAACGAGCACCAATTTGTATACTGCAACCTAATGTGTATACTCGTTCAGTTAGATAACATCAATTTTCGTTTTACGTCTTTCATTTTGGTATCAAATTGTTCGTAATAAAAAGGCGTGTATTTTAAAACTAGTCCCATAATAATAGAGCAATAACTGGAATTTTAACAAATATTTTAATTCTGGAAGCTCATCATCACAAAATTATTTATATCTTTCCAGTGTTCTGACATAAAATTTTTGTGTTACATCTTTCATTTTGGTATCAAATTGTTTGCAACGTAAAGGCGCGCATTTTACAACTAGTCCCAAGATAATAGGACAATAAATAGAATTTTACCAAATATTTTAATATTTTTACCAAAAACCTATTTATCATTTTTCAAGTGTTCGGACATCAAGTTTCATGTTATATCTTTCATTTTGGTATCAAATTGGGCACAATCTAAAGGCGCTTATTTTAATACTATCCGAGGTCGATCGGATCAAAAATGAATTTTATACAAATATTTTTGTAGTGGATGCAAGTCTGTCTACGGTAAGGATTCAGGAGAAAAATAATGAACGAGATCGGTGTCCAAAGTCAGCGATAGTGTTAAACAGCAGAGAGTAGTGCTCAAGAACCATCAGTAGAAACAGAACTTGTCAGCCACCAGTACCTCACAGAGAGGCAGCCACCCACACCATATCTAAACAACACTGAAAATGCAGTATCTTACAGCTGAGTGAACTAGATTATTGTATTTTTTTTTTAGTTAAGTGCCTGATAAGCATACTGTTAATGCAACATGCATTAAGGTAAATATAAGTAAAATATTAGAACATTAAGTTAGTTGAGCTTTAAAATTGGCCTCCTTCTCTTATCCCCCTTGAAGAGGAGGCAGACGACCATATCTTGAGATCTTTTTGAGATGATTTATGTTACACACCCCCAGGAAGCAGCCCATAGCAGCTGTCTAACTCCCAGGTACATATCTATTTACTGCTAGGTAACAGGGGCATCAGGGTGAAAGAAACTGCCCGTTTGTTTCCGCCTCCACCGGGGATCGAACCCGGAACCTCAGGACTACGAATCCAAAGCGCTGTCCACTCAGCTGTCAGGCCCCCAGACTTAAGGTAAACATAAGTCTCCAGACAAGGGACCAACACCCACCTCTCAGCTGGAAGTATAAGAATTAACTGATAATTTTAATACCATAATAAAGAAGGAACATAAATTTATATATTACCCTTACAAGTTAGTAAAGAAGTACTGAATTAGCAACTATGGCAGGAGGGTATAATAATTGTTTGATATGTGAGAGGAAAAGTGCTCTCAGGCAGCAGTCAATTGAATGTAAGCTGTGCCATAAGATATACCATGGCAAATGTCAAAAAATCTCAGATAAATTAATCAAAGCGTACAGCAATGAGCAAAATGAAGGCAAATGCCTTTTTAATTTTCACTGCTTAATCCTTAAACCGCTACAGCATAAGGGGCATAAACCAAAAAGTATTCAAATTATGTAAAAATTACTTTTTTTTTTTTTGAGATATATACAAGAGTTGTTACATTCTTGTACAGCCACTAGTATGCGTAGCGTTTCGGGCAGGTCCCTGGAATACGATCCCCGCCGTGAATAATCGTTGTTACAACCAAGTACACATTTTACTTGGCCTCTTACTTACTTTAACTGTAGCCTCTGCTTTAAACAGAGGCTACAGTTAAGGATTTGTGCCCAGTAAATCCTCCCCGGCTTATAAATGTTAAACAAATCTCCAAGTTATTGGCTTCAGCATTGTAAAAATTTCATCAAAATATTTTCATAAATTGATTTTATACAAATTTTAAAAAAAGAAGGTTTTGTTGATGAGGAAAACAGCTCCTATTAACTGGAACTGAGGGATAATGCAGTAATAAAGAAATGCAAGCACCTGTCCGGCGCACAAATATGAAGAATAGTAGTAAAAAGTGTCCACAAAGTAAATATGCAGCTGGTGCCTTTATAGCATTGCGGAGTAATACATAATAATACAAAGAATAATGAGTAAATATGGTATTATGCTCTATTTTGTTATATATCATAGAAATACATTGCCCATTGTTAATATCTGTTACCTTCACCAATGTCTCCCCAAAAAAATTTTGTTTTAGGGGATTTTTTTTTCGCCTTTGTTTATTAGCTGATTTTGTTGTAACCTTTACATCCTGGAGAGTGCATACCTGTTCCTAACTATGTGAAGATAGAATGAAATTTGTCAACAAATAAATGTCACAACTCAAAGAACTTGGGACTGAATTTTTTGGGCTGATTTTTTTCATAGATTTCAAACTTTTTTTTTTTTGTCTCTTTAGGTCATTTTAATGATTAGGGACCATATTAGGCTTTATCACTTATATAAAGTATACATAATATCATTATAATTCATTATCTAAATCATTATAATTTTCCCTATTTTTTTTTTGGGGGGGGGGGGTATTTTTTCTGGACTTTATTTCAATACATATTAACCTACAACTTTCACATATTTGAGTACGAATGCCAAACAATGTTTATTAAAACATACAAGTAAATGAATGAATTAGAACTTCCTTATTCATTGTCGATAACTTCAACTTCAGTTATCTCTAAAAACTAGAGTTTCAACTTTGAGGCAGCGTAAAAAAATCTAGTTTCTGACCGATTCTCACTATTTTTACATATGGTGTGCACAGCTGTCTGTTCTAAAATCCTTAGAGAATGGATTTTTCATAAATTCTAAATGTTTGGAGTTATAATTTTTTTTTTGTCTAAATTTGGTGCATATTTGAAATGTCGTATTGACGATTTTTTTACAGTAAACTATACTGAAAACCTATTTTTTAAATTGATGAAAATGAAGATCGTATGCTATTCTGAGAGCATAATAACACCAAATAAACAAGCAGTGATTTTTTTTTTTTTAGCTGATTTCAAAATCTGAAGTTTTCAATATTCAGTTTTAGATTTATTCTTGATTTACTTGTTTTTCGAGTTACGTTGGTGATCATTTACACAAACATGGAGCATTTGCTAGTACAGTAGAATATGCACAAAATATATAAAGGTGTTTGAGAAAGTTAGAGAAACTGATCTAAAAGTCCATACATACATGTATGTTTTGTGCGGTTTAAGGGTCAACCTACTATAATCGTTGACCAGACCACACTCTAGAAGGTGAAGGGACGACAATGTTTCAGTACGTCCTGGACCATTATGAAGTCGATTATGAGAATACACAATCGACTTAAGAATGGTCCAGGACGGACCGAAACGTCGTCGTCCCTTCACCTTCTAGTGTGTGGTCTGGTCAATATACTTTAGCCACATTATTGTGACTCATCGCCTGCTATAATCGTGGCAAGGGCTTAAATGACCCAAGCACCACTATCAATGATACAGATGAGAGTAATGAGGAAAACAGAGGGAAAAAACTGATGATATAATTAAAGGACATTTAAGAGGGTCAGAAAGTTTTGATGAAACAGTTTATGGACTTTAAGCAATCAATAATTAGCAGTCGAGTAGGCGAAATTCCAGTGGTCAATTAGGTGAACCTGGCCGGAAATCAGACACTCCGGGAAAACACTCTGAATGCAGGCAGAGTTGAGGATAGTGACCTGGAAGATCTGGTCAGAGCAGCAGAAGCTTTGTATAGAAAAAAAGAAAAGAAAAAACAACCTCACCATAAGGAACCTTGCAAAAAAAGAGGGTAGGAATGATCAGGAAATCATTGAGGTAATAATAATGAAACTGATAGGAAACGAGGAGGATCTTAGTATATCCAATGTTGGTAGGTTAGGTAAGCCTGAATATACATACAGGCTTACAACATATAGCCAAAAAAGTCTCAAAAACTGTCAGTATACTCTCTAAAATCAGATATTATGTTCCCCACTCTGCTCTCCTCTCATTATACTACTCATTATTCTATCCCTATCTTACATACGGTATCTGTGCAT